CCACCCTCTTGGCTTAAGCCCTTCCTAGCCCCACTCCCTCCAGAGCCAAAACCCATTCTTGCCTTGCAGGGGACAGAGAAGAAGGAAAACAAGTCTTACCCAGTCTTCAACACCCCTCTACCCTGTCCTACAGGGGGAAACTGAAGAAGAATTAATTGTTCCTCCCCCGTATAACCCCCCTAGGATGCCGGAAGAACACCATCCTCCCCCTCCGGGGGAGGCAGACGCTGTTCGGAGAACGGGAGGTGGAAATGCTCCAGTGGGAAGCCCGCCCTTTACCAGACAAAGGGCTCAGAGGGAGCAATCCGCCTCTGCCGCCAACTCCACTATTCCACCCCTGCAAGACACTGGACCCCCAGACGCGGAGGGGAATCAGCCCCATCACTATTGGCCTTTCGCCACTAGTGACCTCTACAATTGGAAAGCTCAGAATCCTAAGTTTTCCAAGAAACCGGCTGGGCTTATTGATTTATTAGACTCTGTTCTTTTTACTCATCAGCTCACGTGGGACGATTGCCAGCAGCTTTTGCAGGTCCTGTTCATGACTGAAGAAAGAGAAAGGATTCTCAATGAGGCCCGAAAACTAGTTCCGGGCGCAGATGGGAATCCCGCCACCAACCAGGCTCAGATAGATGCCTCCTTCCCCTTAACTCGGCCCCAGTGGGATTTCAACACGGCAGAAGGTAAGGAGAGGCTCCGGGTCTACCACCAGACTCTAATGGGGGGTCTCCGAATGGCTGCTAGAAAGCCAACCAATTTGGCCAAGGTAGGAAATGTACAACAGGGAAAAGATGAATCTCCGGCTGCCTTTTTAGAATGGATCATGGAGGCATTCCGTACCTATACCCCCATGGATCCAAAGGCTCTGGAAAGCAAGGCAGCTGTTATCAAGGCCTTTGTAAACCAATCAGCCGTAGACATTAGGAGAAAATTACAGAAAATAGATAGACTAGGAGAAAAAAGTCTGCAGGACTTACTGGTGGTAGCCGAAAAGGTATATAATAACTGGGAGCCTCCTGAGGACAAGCAGCCTCACTCCATGGCGGCTGCCAGCAGTAAGCAGACTCGAGACCTGGCCAGAATACTACTAGCTACCACTGTTGACTCCCCCGAAGAACGAGACCGCCGTCTCCGGCAGCTGGCAGACAACACAAGAAAAGGTACAGGAACCACCAAGGGGGGGAAGCAGAGGCTGAAGAAAGATCAGTGCACATACTGCAAGGAGATAGGGCATTGGGACCGAGATTTTCTGAAAAGGGCCGGCGGGAAGGGAAGCAAGACTGATCGAGTAAAAGTCCTAGAGTTGATGAACTGAGTGATTAGGGGAGTCGGGGTTCGGACCCTCTCCCCGAACCCAGGGTAACTCTTAAAGTGGAGGGGACCCCTGTTGACTTCCTCGTCGACACCAGAGCGCAACATTCGGTCCTCCGCACCCCACAAGGAAAACTAGCCAGCAAGAAGTCCTGGGTACAAGGGGCAACTGGTATGAGCCAGTATTCATGGACTACCCGAAGAACAGTAGATTTGGGAACGGGCCGGGTATCCCACTCCTTTATGGTAATACCAGAATGCCCCTACCCGCTGTTAGGACGGGACTTACTGACCAAGATAGAAGCTAAGATAACTTTCAGACAAGGGGGGGCCTCAGGTCACCGATGGCAAGGGCCACCCCATCCAGGTCCTGACCATGAAACTGGAGGATGAATACTGCCTCCACTAAGAGGCGCTCCCAAGAGAGGATAATATAGACAGATGGCTACAAGAATTCCTTTCGGTTTGGGCAGAGACGGGGGGCAGGGGGGGTGGATAGGACTAGCCACTCACAGGACCCCGGTCCTGGTAGAGCTCAAGCCAGGAGAAAGTCCAGTAAGGATCAAACAATACCCCATGTCTCAGGAGGCCCGGAAGGGGATCCAGCCACACATCCAGAGACTACAAAGCTTAGAGGTACTAGTTCCTTGCCAGTCTCCCTAGAACACCCCCCTACTGCCGGTCAAAAAGCCTCACACAAATGACTACCGACTGGTACAAGACCTCCGGGAAGTAAATAAGAGGGTCACGGACATACACCCAACTGTTCCCAACCCATATACTCTCTTGAGCTCCTTGGCGCCCTCCAGGGTCTGGTATACTGTACTAGATTTAGAGGACGCCTTCTTCAGTCTGCCGCTGGCACCCCAAAGCCAACCCTTGTTCTCCTTCAAGTGGCATGATCCAGAGGAGGGCTACAGTGGGCAACTCACCTGGACATGGCTACCTCAGGGATTCAAAAATTCACCCACCATCTTCAACGAGGCACTACACGAGGACCTGGGTGAGTACAGAAGGGAGCACCCTGGCCTCCCCCTCCTACAGTACGTAGATGACATCCTGATTGCTGCCGACACAGCCAAAGACTGTGAGCGAGAGACCCAGGACCTGCTGGCTACCCTGGGGGCCTTAGGGTACCAGGCATCTATGAAGAAGACTCAGATATGCAGGGAGAGGGTAAGTTACCTGGGATATATCCTGGAGGGTGGACAGCGGCGGTTACCAGATGCCAGAAAAGAAACTGTCCTAAAGATCCCTACTCCACCTCCCGAAGAGAAGTAAGGGAATTCCTAGGATCGGCCGGCTACTGCCGCCTCTGGGTTCCAGGTTTTGCTGAGATCGCCAGGCCCCTATATGAAGCTACCAAAGAGGGGAAAACATTTAAATGGGCTGAAAAAGAAGAAAC